GTTTTATCATTTTATCTAAATAATTAATTGCAACCGACGCTGGACGGAACAGGGAATCTAATCTCTTATTAAAGAGATAAAGGGTAGCTTTATTAGTTTCGTATGGGTAAATTTCTACCAGCCGTGGCCGGGCGCCTCGACCAGCGGCGTAATTCAAAATAAATCCCCTTAGGCGAAGAACGGCGCCGTCAAAGTGGACAAAAAGCCCCCCTGTTTCGCACCACTTGCAAAAAGTTAATGGACGAAGGAACAGACGGAAAGAAACAACATCCGATCCGGATAAATTTGTGTTTTACAAAGCGGTTTTGAAAACAAAATCCAAACCAAAGATTCTCTTCTGCATGAAATTTCTGATTATAGCGTTGACAAGACAGTTTTATAAACTTCACGGAAAATGTACAGTCATCAGTCATCAGTAGGGCTGTGATTTATATGCAATAAAAACAGACAAATATGCACATATATATGTAAATATATTTGGTAAAAAACTGCAATTTAATACTGAAAATATGCGAAAACTGCCATGAGAAAAAAATAAGGAAACATTAAATTAAAGCACATAATTGGAAAGAGAAACAGTGGCAAGAGGAACATCACATTGCTAATATTAAAAAAGAAAAACGCATTAAAAAAAGTTAAATTTAAAAAATCNAAATATAGCTTAAATTGATTTCAAATGCTTCAAAACATATACAGTTTGTTAAAACTGGATATTTTAGTTAACCAGGAAAAATATGCAAATGCATATATTTCACAGCCCTAGTCATCAGTAAATACTTTCTCTTTGAAAAAGACCCTCAGTTATTTTGTCGAGGTTTCAAACAACGCTTCATCAGGACTCAATGGAAATCAGGACATAATCCTGAAAGATGCCTAAGCTTATTTACGGGCACTCGTCAAGCTTTCGTTGGTGTTTGGCATGATGGATTACTTACCAAAATTAAAAGCCCATTCGCACAGATGCTCTACTGGATTATCCAGTCATATCACTACTAATGACCATTAGTAGCTAGGTTCCGTTTGGGTTCATTTTTGTAGTTATCTACATATTAGTCCGACGTCCCAGTGCATAACAGACCTCCTCAGTTCGCCTTGGCCATCCTTAACAGAGGAACTTAATACACGAAACAAGCACACAGCAAAAGAATGTCCTTATTCATACGTGAAATTTACTGTCGGTCAGAGTTTAGTCTGAGGTTAGAAGTTAATTGAATGATGCCTCCGTGTTTCTTTCTAGAGTAAGCCCAGATGGTAAACTCGATCAAAGGCTTGCTTAGAAGTGCACGCGAGGAGCATTCTTTCTGTGGATGGGAAAATGCAATGATGGCAACCATCCTGTTGTTTTAGGAAATAGAGTCGCTTATTAGGTCTCGGTTTACTGAAAGTGATCGTCTTTAAATGTAAGAAGTACTGTGTTCATTAGAATTGATAAGAATGTCTAAGAAGAAGAGGGTTACCAGTGGGGTCTCCCTTATCCCCACTTTGTGCTGAAATATTCATGGATAATTTCGAAAAAAATCTTTTCAAATCAAAGAATAAATTAATTAAATCTGTTCATTTCTAGAAACGCTATGTAGACGATATTTTATGCTTATGGTCGGGAACATTAGAGGCTCTAAAAGAATTCCTCCAACTAATTAATTCTCTACACCGTAATATAAATTTTACATTGGAAATTGGCTAAGATGGTTGTTTGAACTTTTTAGACCTAAAACTGTCCACAATAAACAGCCTAATAGAAATAGACGTATATAGAAAACCTACAACTACAGACACTATGATACCAGATCAGATACGAAAATTAAGATTTCATCTTAAAACTACCTTTGGCATAGTGGATAGGAGAAAAGGATGTCCTTATTCATACGAAAAAGTTACTAGCGGACAGATTTTAGTCTGAAGGTAGATTAACTGAATGATGTCCTTGAGTTTCTAGAATAAGCCCAGGTGGTAGATTCGATCAAAGGCTTGCTTAGAAGTGCACCCGAGCAACATTCTTTCTGTGGATGGGAAATTGCAATGATGGCAACCATTCTGTGTTTTACGAAATAGAATCGCTTATTAGGCCTCGGTTTACTGAAAGGGATCGTCTTCAAATCTATGAAGTACTGTATCAGATTGATAAGAATGTCTGCAGTGTATATGAATAGCTGGGACCAAGGATGTTGCCTTGCGGAATACCCGCTTCGACATAGTGGATTGAGGAAAAGGATGTTCAGAATCGTACTTGAAAGAAAATTGGAAGAGGTTAGGATTAGGTTGTAAGTTAATTGATACCCTTTAGATTTTAGAGCAAACCCAGGTGCTTCGTTAGTTCAAAGGCTTGCTTATTAAAGCCCCGAGCAGCATTCTTTCTGTTCTAGTTAGGATGGAATGATGTCATCCAGAGGCACTTCGGAGAATCGCTTGTCAAGTCTCAGTTCCCTGAAAGGGATCATCTTCAAATGTGAAAACCACTGTATCAGAAATGATAACAATGACTGCAGTGTATACTGAATAGTGAATGGGAGGATTTTGCTTTGCAGAACTCTTTTTGGATAGGAGAAAAGGATGTTCTGATTCGTATTTGAAAAAAACTTCCGGCCAGGTAGGATTTTAGGATGAGGTAGTTAATGTATGGACTGTCTTCAGTTTTATCTCAAGCAGCATTAATTCTGCTCCAGAGAGGATGCAGTGCTTACCACCCAGTGCAGGGCACTGTTATTAAATATATTAATGGCTAAATCATTCCAGCTAGTTCTTACATAAAATGACCAACAATTAACTTCAACGTTCAACATATCAGCGCAACAATACGAAAATTAAGATTATTTCTTAAAACTAGCTTTGGCATAGTGGATAGTAGAAAAGGATGTTCTTATTCATACGTGAAAGTTACTGTCGGACAGATTTTAGTCTGAAGTTAGAAATTAACTGAATGATGTCCTTGAGTTTCTAGAATAAGCCCAAGTGGTAGACTTGATCAAGGCTTGTTTAGAAGTGCACCCGAGCAACATTCTTTCTGTGGATGGGAAATAGCAATGATGGCAACCATTCTGTGTTTTATTAAATAGAATCGCTTATTAGGCCTCGGTTTACTGAAAGGGGTCGTCTTTAAATCTATCTCGTAAGAAGTACTGTATCAGATTGATAAGAATGTCTGCAGTGTATATGAATAGTGGCTGGGACCAAGGATGTTACCTTGCGGAATACCCGCTTCGGCATAGTGGATTGAGGAAAAGGATGTTCAGAATCGTACTTGAAAGAAATTTCCGGACATGTAGTTTTTATGATGATGTAATGAATGGAAGGATGTTCTTCAGTTTTTTGTTCAAGCCCGGATCTCACTTTCGATTGAAGCTAAGCACTCGAACAGTTTTCGTTCTGCTCAAGGGAGGCAGAAGTGGCACTTAAATAGTCAGAGTGATGTCACCTGAAACAGAATTGATAGAATGGAATAACACAAGAGCTTTTAAGAATGGGATACAGGTGGTTTTGAATGATATTTCCAAGTAATAAGAACAAACGGTATGATAATGTGTTGTATCGTTAATTTCATTTGGATTGGAATGTAGGTAATTCTAAGGGTTAAGCTGTAAAGGTGGTTAGAAAATTGTAGCTTTTTAAGGAAGATTTGGGAGATTAGTTTTGGTGTTAGAGTCAAAAAAATTGGTCCTGGAGGCTTCTGAACTCCACTGCTAAGCTAGCTGAAGATGCCCAAAACCAAGTGTTGATTAGGGATGGTGGTGCAATGGTTTTCTATGGCGCGTCGAAAAATTCTCCACCCTTTATCTACAGAGTGATGTCACCTGAATGAGAATGATAAAATGGAATAACACAGGAGCTTTCAACAATGGTATACGGGTGGTTTTGAATGATATTTCTAAGTAATAAGAACAAACGGTATGACGTAGGTAGACGCTTTGACTTTTGATAATGAGTTGTATGGTTAATTTCATTTGGATTAGAATGTAGGTAGTTCTAAGGATTGAACTGTAAAGGTGGTTGGAAAATTATAGCTTTTTAAGGAAAATTTAGGAGATTAGTGTTGGTGATAGAGTCAAAACAGTTGGTCCTGGAGGCTTCTGAACTCCACAGCTAGTTTTAGCTGAAGGTGCCCAAAACCAAGTGTTGGTTATGGATGGTTAGTGATGGTAGTGCAATGGTTTCCTATGGCGCGTCTCCACCCTTTATCTACAGAGATGCCACCTGAATCAGAATTGATGGGGTGCAAAACTGCAGATTTCAAGAATTGGATGCAAGTATTTTTCAAAGATTTTTCAAGTAATGCCAGCAAACTGTTAAGACGATATGACTTAGGGAATGATGAATGGATTTTATGATTGATAATTTCGACTTGATAGGAAAGAAGGCAGTTCTATGGACTGAGTTGTCAATTGTGGTAAGGAAAATTAGTTTTTTTTCTCTGAAGATTTCGAAGTGTTAGAAATGTAAATTATTGCAACCCTTTTGTAACCTCTGTTTTAGTTAGTCCTGTAGAGCAAGTTTTGTACGACGCAATATAGTGATACTTGTGTGTCTCGTGTTTTTCTTTTCATCCCAAAACCCAACACGAAGGATATTTGTTTTTTTGAAGCTTTTCACCTACTGTTGAAAAATTTGAACGCTGGTTCCAATTTTGTATTTAATTATTCTGTACTGAATAATTTTCCGTTAAAAAAAACTGTTATTGATTATGTATTGATTAACAACAGGTAAAGAAATCAGAATTTGTTCTAAGTTAAATTATAATATCTGTGTAAAACAAATACAGTAAAAAAGATGAAAGTATGTTGTAAAACAAGCAACTCAGGGTCCATTCTTTTTCCCAAGGTAGCCGTGACAGTTGGGGGTGATCAATCGTCGGCAGTAAACCATCAACTTTATTGTATACGATCGCGACCCCACCGTAACTCCCCACGTGTGCGGCGATTATCTCAGGCCAATGGATTGGAAAAATGAAATCCTTCCAGCTGTTGCCGCTCGCCGTAACCCGCCGAGGGTGGTGCAGATGCAGAATGATCGTATCTCGGATCTCAGTGCTGGTGGGGTTAACAGATCATCGCTCCGAGTCTCTCAGTCCACGGCAGGAACTCCTAGAAGCAACACCTCCGAAAAGAAATAATAACAAAAGTAAGTGGTCGTCATGTTAAACTTGGACGTGCCAGACAATTTTTAACATTAGATTTTTCAGTTGTGCCAAAAAATAAATAAACTAAAAAATAAACTAAAAAAGAGTAATATGGCTAAAAAATGTATATATAAATAAGTAATATTTTTAAACAAGAATTTCTCATCATTATCTCGTTTAAATCAAAAGATATACAAAATTATAATATCTAAAACCTATTATTTATGTTATTTTTTATTGCTAAAAATTGAATGGCTGTCATAATGACAAACTCATTTTTATGTTCTTACCCTCTCTTACTCTTTCGTTCTCAATATCTGGGTATCCGTCTTTCTACCTGGCTCATAAATTTTATTACACACACATTCTGTCTATCCGTATTTCTATCTCTCTTCGTATTCTCTCTCTCTCTCTCTCTCTCTCACTCACTCTCTCTCTCTCTCAGACTCTTTCTCTTTATATCCTCTCGTTCACAAACAAAACCCTTCTCTCTTTTTTACCTGTTTTCTTTGTAAGAGTTCTTTCTTTCTGTCTCTATAATTCACTTTCACTCTCTCTCTCTNTCTCTCTCTCTCTCTCTCTCTCTCTCTCTCTCTCTCTCTCTCTCTCTCTCTCTCTCTCTTTCCCTCTGTCTCCCTCACTATTTCTCTGATTCACAGACATAAATGTTCCTTTCCTTCAGATTTCTTTATTTTTGTTTCTATCTATCTCCTCTCTCTCCTCTCATTCTCTTTCTCTCTCTCTCGCTCTCGCTCTCTCTCTCACTCACTCACTCACTCACTCACTCCCTCTCTCTCTCTCTCCCCCTCCCCCTCCCTCTCTCTCCCTCTCTCTGTCTCCCTCACTATTTCTCCTGTTGAAATGTTCCTTTCCTTCAGATTTCTTCCTTTTTGTTTCTGTCTATCTTTTCTCTCTCTCTCCTCGCATTCTCTGTCTCTCTCTGACTCTTTCTCTTTATATCCTCTCGTTCACAAATTCTCTCTTTTTTACCTGTTTTCTTTCTAAGAGTTCTTTCTTTCTGTCTCTATAATTCACTTTCACGCTCTCTCTCACTCTCTTTTTCACTTTCTCTCCCTCCATCCCTGTCTCTTTTTTTCTCTTTATACCCTTTGACCCACAGACACCAATATCTTTCCTCAATTTAGTTTTCCTTCTCTCTGTCTAGAATCTCTCTCTCACGTTCCTTCTCCCTCTATCTTTCAATCTCTCTCTCTCTCTCCCTCACCCCCTCTTTCTCCCTCGCTCTCTCTCTCTCTCTCTGTCTGTCTGTCTGTCTCTCTCTCTCTCTCCCTCACTCTCTTGCCCCCTGACTCTATTACTTTCTCTTTATATCTCTCAACTTTTCTCTGGCCGTCAATTTGTTCGTCTCTCTCTCTTTTTTCTCTTCACCTCTATCTATGCTATCATCCTATCCTATTTTTGCTTTATCGTTTTTCTGTCTGTCAACCTCTCTTTCTCTCGTTTCCTTTTTTCTTTCCTTGTTCTTCTTTGCCAGTCTCTCTTTTTTCACTTTCTATCCTTTCGCTAAGAATTCCAAAATGGTCGTTATTCTATGATTTCCTTACCCAGCGATTTGCTCATATTTGAAAATTATGTGACCAGTTCGGTAATCTCGTAAAAATAAAATAAAACGTAAATTGGGCTCCGTTTAGAGCAGATAGTTTATTGAAAAAATTAATCAGAACAGTAAAAACGATAGCTTAAAAGGCAACCAATCATCAGATTTTTTTGTGTAAAAACATTCAATCTGATATTGCTATCGATAGAATAGTTGAAAACAAATAAATAAACACTTCAGTTTTTAAAACGTTTCCTTTAATTTTAAATCACTTTATTTCTGTCAATGAAAAGTTTTAAACCGGAAAATAACATTTTTTCAGAGTGTAAACAGTTCAAAGATCAAAATTGAAATTTTCATTGCACTATGAATGTATTTATCAACGTAATCGCAAGTAGTAGATTAGGCACGACGTAGATGTTTTTTTTTATGCACTACATCATGTACACAAAGGGAACTTTGCGCACTTACCAGTTCTTTAAGGTCGTTTAATTTTGGATCTTTTTTGTTTATCAAGTATGACAATAGTTTTCTTTCTCCGATTTAGCCGTATTAAGCTGCGAGTAACATCAAAGATCTTCACCGCACTAATATTTATAGTTGGACATTCTACGTTGATCCTTACGCCATTATCTTCTTGTACAAATAGAGTCAGAGGACATGAGCAAACACCCTTTACAAACGTACTCTTACCTGAGAATAAAAGGACCTCCCTTAGAAAGAATTATTCTGAAATGTCTTGAGAAGTATACACGCACTGGAAATATTCTATTTCTGAATATCGCGTTTATTTTAATCCTTTGGCTCAAGAAGATTGTATTAAATATTAAATAGAAACATCACCTGTTCTTATGAAACATCAAACACGAACAATCCTTTTAAAAAAAATATTTACCATTTATTAAACATAAAATTCTTATAAGGACAACAAATTCTTTATAGTTTTGTACATAAAAATACCATGTTTACGATCGATGGTAAAAGTTTCATTTTTAACTATAATCATTGTTCAATTACACATCTTCCATTTCGTACAATCTTTCTACAATTTTCTACTTTGACTAGATTATACTAGAAGCTCACATTGTGCAAAAGTCTTATTTCTCATCTCTATATGCTCCAAGCATAGGGGTCTCACAGGGTTCTCACCTTGGTCCATTCATCTTGTTCATTATTAAAAAAAGCCTTGATTTTGTTGTTTCAATGTGATGCGAAATTTTATAAGGATATTTCAAATACACCCTCATTTATCTCACAATCCTGCAGAGTACCATTAATCATCCTGTAATATTTCTCAAATAATTTCGTACAATTTCATTTTCCAAACATTTTTTTAATTTTTATGTTTTACTTGGGATTATAATAACAGAGGTCATATCACCTCCGAGGTTGAGAAAAAAAACTATTTGTAAATTGAGTTCGAATTCAGGGCTACTGGATTCGAACCCGGGACTTTTAGGTTACAGTGATGACCCTCGTGTCGCTCCCCCCTTTTTTTTTTTTGTAAGTATTCTTCTACAATATACTATAACTATAATTTAATTGACAATTCTTTAAAACGCACTACTACCATGGAATCCACGATGGTGGTCGTTTTTCATCCCTTTTAATTCTCCACTCATTTCATGGGAGTTATTGTAGGTCATTATCTGTTAATTTAAAACACTTGCTCAGTTTTGACTGAATCACCAAAAATGTTTTCCGAAATCTATTTTTTTTCTTTTTTTATATAAACTTGTGTAATTTTGTGATACTTGTGTTATTATCACTTTCACCTAGGAGACCTCGTGGTCATTGTCTCTTCAGTTGGTGGGGAGGGTTTGAGGGGATTCGTCGGGATGCGAGGTTTCTGATGTGATGATTTATGGTAGTTGGAAGGTTTTTATGAAATTTACGGTTACGGGAACGTATTTCATCTTGAACGAAAGGGATATGTAAATCCGTATGTGTAGTTCGTTACATAAAATGGTGCATCTAAGCAGCCTTTTATTTTTGATAGGTACATTTTTTCAAGAAGTCGTCCAAGAGCTCTACCTTGTGTCAGTCGCGTGCGAGAATTTCACGTCAGGCGTTTTTCGATGTAGCAGTTGGAAGGGTTATTTAAGACAACATGAGGAGAGATCTTTTTACGGAGAGTGAATGTAATATGGTTGAAATGTCTGTGTTAAATTTTATCCTTTTCTTTTTACACCAAGACTCTAGTAGTATGAGGGGTTGTTGGAGGTTTCGAGTGGAAATGACAAGGTCGGAGTTTCTAGAGAGAATTGTTGTACCGTCTGCAAATGTGAAGGTAGTGGTTTCGGGATGAGATGGCATGTCAGCTGTGAACACCTATAATGTAGGGGCCAGAACGCTACCCTGAGGAACAGGAAAATATGCAGATAGGGAATGGCCTTCGATGACTTGGAAGAATCGGTCAGTGAGTGAACTGTGCAGTATGAGATAGTAGACGGATGTTAGGATGCCCTGAGCATGAATGGCTTACGCCAAGAAAGGCCCCAGGACAGTACTGTCCCACCTCAAGGGAGGAGGGAATAAGTCTATCACGCGGTGACACTGCTGGACAGTTTAGTGACGGTTGCGAAAACCAAATTGATGGTCTGGGATTGTTTTGACAATGTAGAATCAGAAGAATTTTTTTATATTTTTTTTTAACCAAAAGTGGGTAGTAGACTTATTGCTCTGTATGGAGTAGTACAATGTGTTGGCCTTTTTGCCTTTGGGAACATTCGAATATACGAGTGCTTCCAATCTATAGGAAGTAGGTTGTACGAAGAACAGAATTAAGTAGGTATGCGATGAGTATAATGGCCTTTTTGGGTATAATTTTCCTTACAACCATTAACCATTCATTTCTTCCATTCTTCCACCTCATCATATCGCCCCATCAGTTTGCTGCCCATACTTGCAAAATTTTTGAAAACCACTTGCATCCCATTCTTGAAAGCTCCAATGTTGTTTCGTCCCATCCATTCTGGTTCAAACGACATACACGACTGTTTAACTATGCCACAGGATGGTAAACACGGCATCCCATTTTTAACAGAAAGACTCAGGGGCCTAGGAAAACTTCGATCGAGTGGGTACTCTACCTTGCTATGGAAACTGAACATCATTACTCCATCCTAAAGTTCCATTTGTCTTAGAGGTCCGTTGAACTACGAATCAGGTATTTTCTCCTAGCTATGCAGAAGAGGGGTTCCGCAAGGCAACACCCTTGGTCCGTTCACTTTTCAGTATACACTGTAGGCAGTCCAATCATTTCTGATACCTCACGTATAAAGACTTTTCAGCGAACCGAGACCTAATAATCTACTATAACTATTTAACAGTGCCACAGGATGGTTGACGCCATTGCATCTTCCCTTGAACAGAAAAATATCATTGGGTGCTTTCCTAAGCCTCCGATCGAGTGTAGCACCGCGCTTGCACGAGAATCTCTAA